TCAGAAATCTTTTTTCTTAATTAACGGAGTTGCACTTTTAATATAATCAACTATCGGGAATTTTGATTTTTCTGGCATTCGCCATTTCCCGAGAATTTCGGATAGTCATGCTTTTTCTACGCTAGAGAAGTAATACTTCTTTTATAGCATAGAATGAAACGCTTTCGTCTTGATTTACATGAGTATTTCCCAATAGTTACGTTTTATCCAATAAGCATTTTGCACTCTTCACAAAACTATGTCTGAAATAGTCGAAGCAGTTTATAAGATATTTTCTCCCTCCTTTCTGCATGCGTTTGTGCTGTAACCGGAAGCACGCTGGACGTATAGTTGGGAGGTTCGGAGTTCGAATCCGGGAGAGATCCTTTCACATTTTCCCCCTTCCTGAATCGATATAACCTAATTAAGGATATAACCTATATAACGATTATTTGCATTGTTTTAAAAATAATATTGTTGCGTGCGTGCGGGTTCGTAATAAACTGAATGCACAAGTCCGATGAAAAGTGAATAAAATTTATTATTATCAAAACAAACAAAACCAAATACTCAAATTTCCTCAGATATTAGTAAAAATATTGCAAATTCTCACAGTAGTTATCTTTTAAACTAGTCAAACGACCTTCAATTAGAAAAATTCTAAACAGATATAGCTAATCAGATTTCACCACGAATTTGCTGCAGTAAACAACATCGGTTTTCTAAACAAACTGAACTGAGATGTTTTGATTCCTCTTTTATAAGCTTTTTAAATATTCACGAGCATATGCTGGTATTTACTCGATTTTTTCCGAAAATCAAAAGCAGCATATAATTACGTTATATCTATTTGTTAAATGCGTGTGCTTTTCTATTTTTCATTTTTCGGTGTAGTTTCCTCTTCAAATAAGTCTTGTGCTGCATTGCACGGGGATACAAAACAAGTTTAGTTAATTCTATTTAGAAATAGCTAATTCAATATAAAAACCGTAACAATATGTAAATGAAGGATATACTAATAATTATTAATTTACGTATTAACATTTCAGACATAATAGAATAAAAATTTACTGTTATCGAAAATCTAATTTTCACGCGTATCTATCTACTAATGGATTCATTTCACAAGAACAGTAAACGAAAGCTACGAATATACCACAGAGAAATCTTGGGGCAAACAACACGCTCAAAAGTATAGCTATGAATATAAAGTACAGGAAAGCAATGATATACGATATACACGATATCCACCGCTTTACTTAAAATGGATAAAGCAGTTATTTTAAAAATAGTTCAAGAACGGAAACACTAATTTACGCGGTATCGTTGGTATTTAAATATTTTTATAATACATTTGCTTATTAAGATAACTGGTAGACAAAAATTTCAATAATATTTTTTTAGAATAAACATATTGGATCACTTTATTTTAAGACGCATTCTTCTACAAATCGAATCCTGTTACCAAAATTCCTATGTCCAAATAGAAATTCCAAAAAGAAAGGGCAAAAGTTGATGTAACACTGCAAATTACAGATTTCCCGGTTTTTGCTGTGTGCAACACCTGTAAGCTGTCTTCTGATTTGTTCAGAGTTTCTTATAGTTATCAGATGCAATATATTTTAAAGATACCAGCTATCAATGATTATGTTATAAATGGTGATCATCGGAATGTTATATATTTCTTTAGATAGAAAAGCGAAGTATTTATAAGATTTTTCTATTGTGCAGAAGGAAAAATTCCGCTTTAATATTTTCATGTTAATCTTTGAAGCACACCAACGGCTGAGCGGTAAAGTCGCTGAACGCTGGGAGTTTGGTCCGAGGTTCGAATCCCGCGAACGGGCTGGCTGCATGGGTGTTTTCGTGGTTTTCCCCATGTGTAACGTGTATACGAGCCAGTTTCCCTTAGAAAGTCCTCCACGAAAGGCATCCCTTCCCTTAGGTAGATAGCCCTAGTGTGCTTTGCCATAATTAAATACACCACAGCCCATATTAATATAAAAGTAATAAAATTGAGACTTGGTTATGCAGGAAATCTCGCAAATACTTCGTTACTGTTTCTAAACAAATGCATGACATTCTCGTTCATTGCTTTCCATCCATCCATGCATGTATTGCCGAAAAATATCTATAATATCGCGGTGAATCTGGCTCAATGATGCATTTGCCGCCGCAAGGATAATAATGTCCAGACCGGTGGCAAACGGTATCTAAAGTGGAGAGAAAATGGGTAACTAAGCGTCAAGCACCCATCTGTATTATCGCTCTTAACTGTAAGAGTAAACAGCGTATAGCGATTGTACTGTCAAATACTGCGTAAATTTATACATTCAAAATTTAAGGAATTCAACTTTCTATATGAAATGCATCTGTCACTGAAACAGTTTTCGATTCGATGACGCTATGGATTTTCTAAATTATGCTTGCTATTTAAGATTCTACTTGTTATGAAAAAAATTTTAACTAATTTCTTATATACTAGTTTTTTCGTATACTCCTGCGCTACATGTAGTTTAAAATCACGCAAAGATTGCAATGTGGTCATTTCTTGAAATCCATTTAAAACAAACTGCTTTGCTTATAATAGACGGAGCGGTGAATATGTAGCAAATGTTTGTCTCTGAGCTTTTTCTCTTACTTTTGTCCGCTGCTGGGATGTGGAGGTATCTGTGATACTTAACCCTCTGAACGTTATGAGAGCTTTGTTCGGTCATCAGAAGGTTTTTTATTTATCATATATTAGCTGATAATTTAAGACATTTTGCTTTCTTACTTTCTTTAATAATGTAAATATCATCTTATGAATCTACGTTTATGAAAATACTGACTAAAATAAGTAATTTAGAAATTCAATTAATAAATGCTGTTTAAATACCGGTTTTCATGACGGATCTAAATTCCTGCGTCCCTCAGAGGGTTAAAGCAAATATATTTAGGTCGTACAGAAACGAAAGACACAAATGCTGCCGCTAAGGTGTATTGAGAATACGGCAAAGCACACTAGGGCTATCTGCCTAAGGGGAGGGATGCCTTTCGTGGAGGACTTTCTAAGGGAAACTGGCTCGTATACACGTTACACATGGGAAAAACCACGAAAACGCCCATGCATCCAGCCCGTTCGCGGGATTCGAACCTCGGACCGAACTACCAGTGTTCAGCGATTTTACCGCTCGGCCGCTGGTGGGCCGCTGCCGCTAAGGGGAATACAATTTATTAACAAAAATCTGATAATGCATCAGTTAAAAATAATCCCCGCCCACGTCAATACATTTCTGTCATCTGGCTGGGAGGTTCCGAAGGGGCTTTGGTAAACCAATCTGTGAGGTGTTGGGGCACCACATGTGGACAATTGCGTGCAATTCGACAGAAGATTCAACATGTTGGCCATTGACTGCGTCCTTCATATTGTCAAGCAAGGTGAAGTCCGAGGTCCACTCACTTTGCACGCACATTTGTCATCTCCAAATCACCATGCACAATCGCCTGCAATGTTCCTTGCGCAAGCCCTGTCCCTTCCTGCATCTTGTTGAACGCTTTGCGCCTGTTCGCCATGATCAAATCCGATACAGCTACCACATTTGCTGCTGTATGCGATGTTGCTGGTCGTCCCGCGCTGACACCTTTGGTTGCGGTCTCCACAACGTTGCTGAACTAGGCCGACCAAAGGCATACGGTACGCCTTGAGGCGGCTTTGTTCCCGCACACCAACACCACGGAACGATGGATCTCACTACCCTATATCCCTTCCCTCAGGGGAAGTTATTGGCTATTATTGTGGTTGAAATTGATTATTAAAGTGAATATTAGAATATTAGAATACTATATTTATAAATTTAAGCCAATAATAAAACTTCCCAGGAGTCTGGTACCTTGACGTGGTCTGAGGGCTACTCTTCCCAAGGGAGGAGGTCAAAATCCAGGCTCCAAGTTCAATTGGGGAAACCCCAGGGTCCCAATTGAATTAGAATGACAATGAATCAAACTATTCAAACTGAGATAGTGCCTCAAAATGAACTGATTGAGGAGGCAAGACTTTTGATAAGTGATATAGAGACGAGTTTGGAGGAAGCTTCAAGAGTTACTATTCCTTTAAGAAAAAGATTTTTAAAGCGCAAGAAGCGTTGTTTAATTTTATTGTTTTACAAGCTCTGGAGATAGAAAAATATGAAAAGTAAATTGGAGAGTACTCAAAAAACACCTACTGAAAAAACTTTTCAGAAATAGTAAAAGAACAAAAAAATGGAAAAATGTTCAACTCCAAAGAAAGATAAAATGAAAAAGAACGAACATATAGCATTAATATTTCCAAAAGTTAAAGGAATTTCCTCAGAAGAGGTTAAAATGAAAATAGTGGAAACCATTGATCCTGTAAAACTAAAAATTGGAATTAGAAATGTAAGAAAAATTAATAATGGAGGTATAGCGGTAGAATGTTTAAATAATGAAGAAATTAATAAATTAGAAGAAGAGATTAAAACAAATACATTATTAAAGGAAGATATAGAAATGAGAGCTCCTATAAAGAAAAATCCAAAGATTATTTTGTATAATATTGATTCTGAAGTTAAGAAGGATGAATTGCAGGATGCAATTTTAAAACAAAATTTAATTTTTGAAGAAGGAGGATTTAATCCCCTATTTCGGATTAGAAGTAAAAACAATAAAGTACACTGGGTGGCTGAAATTCACCCCCAGAAATTCAAGACAATAATGAATCAAGGAAAACTGAACTTTAAGTGGTTTAGATAACAATTAAAGAATACCTAAATATAGTAAGATGCTATAAGTGCCAAGAATTTGGACATTTTCATAAAGATGCACAAAGGAAATGAAATGCGCAAAATGTGCTCACATTGGTCATAACCACTGGAATTGTAATAATAATCCAACTTGTGTTAATTGTTCTATAGCCAATAATAAATACAAATTGGGACTGGATGTGAGACACTCGAGCTTAGATAAAAATAGTTGTTCAAGTTTAAAAAGACAATTTGATCTGGAAATCAAAAGAACAAATTATGGTTCTTAGTTCTTTTAAAGGATTAAAAGGGGTTCAGATCAATTTACATCATGCGCGAGCGGCAGTGTCTCAATTACAGCAACGTTATAATGAACAAAACTATTCCTTTGCGCTCATACAAGAGCCTTATCATGTTTATAATAAAATAAAAGGATTTTCTTCACTTCACAGAGTGTACTATTCTGATAAAGAAGTTCCTTTGGCAGGAATTGTCATTTTTGATAATGCAATTTCGGTGGTAGAAGTTTTTACTTCAAATTGTTTGGTCATACTGAAAGTGAACTTTGGAAATAATGATTTATTGTTAATATCTGCTTATTGTTCCCCAAACGCAGACTTGGCTAAATTTCTGGGAGAACTTTCTATGATATTAGATAAAAATATGACTAAAGATATTTTAATTGGAGCAGATTTTAATGCAAAGAGTGATGTTTGGGGTATCCAGGAAGAAGATTCTCGAGGCAAATTGATTTTAGAATTTGTTAATACATATGGATTACATATACTGAATAGTTCTGATTCAATTCCCACCTTTGAGGGAAGTAGAGGCTCTTCTTGGATAGATTTGACATTGACTAATTCTGCATATAATATTGATTGGAAAGTCGTTTCTGACATATCTTGTAGTGATCATAACTACATTGAAATAGATATCAATGAGACAAGAAGTTCTTCAAGAATTAAGAAGAGATATAATCTTAATAAATTAAATTGGATTGATTTTAAGAAGGATCTGATGTTTTTACTGTAACAGTTTAATACTAAAGAAGTGAATGAAGAGAATCTTGAAGAAATAATTGAAAGTTTTACAAAAGAAATTACTCTTTTATGTGAAAAGAACCTGCTAAAAAGTTTTGGTACACTGTAAAGAAAAAGGCAATATGGTGGACAAAAAATTTGGATCTTTTGAGATCTAAATTACGTCTTGCTAGAAGAAAATTTCTTCGTGCTTCCAATGTTGATGATAAGAAGTTCTTAGAAAATAATTTTAAACGGCTAAGAGGCAGTTATAAAAAAGAAATTAATTTAGCTAAGAATCGTTCATGGGATGATTTGTGTTCCCAAACAAATTTAAATCAACCATTTGGTATTCCCTATAAAGTCACTACTGATAAATATAAGTCTGCCTTAACATTGAGCCAACTTAAAAAAGATGATGGCTCTTTACTAATTCTATTCAAGAGACTTTGAATTTTCTGGTTAAATACCATTTCCCAGAGGATCTGGATGTAGATGACACGGAATTTCAGAAAGAAATAAGACAAAGCTTCTTTAAATTATGAAAATAATTTTAATGATTTAAGTTTTTCAAGGGATGAAATTCAAGATGTAGTGGATTCAATGGATAAAAGTCGTGCTCCAGGATTGGATGGTATCTGTTTAGACATTATAGAGGAAATTTTAAGAATTGATTCTACCTTTATGTGTAGAATATATAACGTATGTTTACACCACGGAATTTTTCCGAAGGTTTGGAAAATAGCCTCTTTGATACTTTTTAATAAAGAGGGTAAAGAGAGGAGTGATCCTTCCTCCTATAGGCCTATTTGTCTTTTGTCTGTTTTTGGAAAGATCTTGGACAAACTTATGACTAAAAGGCTTTGGTTCCATTTAAATTCTAGTCATGCTTTGAATCCTTCTCAATATGGCTTTATGGAAGGTAGAAGTACTACACTTGCTATTCAGGATCTTTTGGAAAAAGTAAAAGAAAATAAAAAGAATAATTTACATACTGCATTGGTTTCTCTTGATGTTAGGAGTGCCTTTAATAATGTATGGTGGCCGTATGTACTTCATCAATTAAAAAGATTTAAATGCCCAATGAATTTATTTAAATTGTTTTCAAATTATCTAAGTGATCGATTAGTAATCTTTCAAGAAGGAAATATTCGTATTTCAAGAAAGTACAGCAAAGGTTGTCCTCAAGGATCAAACTCAGGTCCTTTGTTATGGAATTTACTTTGTGATTCTTTATTCGAATTACATTTTAAAGATAATGTTGTGATTCAAGCTTATGCAGATGACATAATTGTGATAGTTTCTGCTAGTGGTCGTCATACAATCGACCAAGACATTGACCATACTTTGGACTTGATTAATGAATGGTCCAAAAAAGTTAAATTGGAATTTGATCATAGAAAATGTGCAATAATGGGTATTGCAAAGAAAGGTAAAATGATTACATTACCTAGAGGAAGACTTGGGCATAATATTGATTGGAAATGGCATTCGCTAAAGTGTGTTAGGCAAATTAAATATCTTGGAGTATTGATCGATGATCAACTTTCTTTCTTGCCTCATTTAAAGATGATTAAACTACAATGTGCTGCAATTTTGAATAAACTTTATGCTATTAAAGGACTTAGTAGTGATATTAAGAAGATTTTCTACAAAAGAGGAATTGAGAGAAAGATTTTGTATGCCTGTCCTGCTTGGTACAGAAATAATGTGAGAATTAACAATTTGATGATACAGATTCAAAGACTTGCTATGCTTAGCATTACAAAATGTTTTAGAACTGTTTCCAGTGCTTGTTTATTTACATTAAGTGGCTGTGAGCCCATTTATTTGATAGCACAAAGGGAATGTGTTACATTTAATTTAAAGAATGGTAAAAGTTTTGAAATTGAAACTGATTTTGATTTTCCTGAAGACATAAATAATGTTGAAATTTTAAGTTTAAAGAATGTTAAGCATCCTGCATTATATTCAAATTTGGAATGGGATAAGAAAGTTCCTTCAGGTGAAGGCTTTGAAATCTTCACTGATGGTTCAAAGATTGCAGGAAAAATTGGATGCTCTTTTGTTGCATTCTCAAGTGGAGAATTAAGTACTGTTCAAAAATTTCGTTTAAGTAATAATTCTTCAGTTTTTCAAGCGGAAGTTTACGCTATTTTATAAGTCCTTGGAATGGATTTTGGGAAAGAATTCTCAAGAAGAAATTAATATTTATTCAGATAGCCAAAGTGCAATTCAAGCTATTGTTGCCTCTAAGATTTATACGGATTTGGTTTTTAAAACTTATAATTTATTTTTGGAAGTTTTTAAGAGAAGAAATATTTATTTTCATTGGATCCGTGGACATATTGGTCATTCAGGGAATGAATTAGCAGATTTTCATGCAAAGCAGGCTTCTAAAAAAGAGGTTATATATGATATTCTTCCAACTTCGTTTGTTTCGTTTAAGAATTCTTTAAAGTCTTACAAGCTTGGCAATCATTATGGGATAAAGAATTGAAAGGAAGATTTACTTATAAGTTTATAAAAGAAATTCAAACAAAAAGATGTTTTGGAAATAGTATCTGAACC